GTCAAAAGGTCCAAAAATCTCAAAATACTTTTATGAATTAAAAGCAAAAAACGATGTAAATTATTCTGTAACTCATTCTTTATCAGTTTTTAGGGTTCCCGAATATCAATCTAAAGTTTTTTTTAAAAAATCCAAAATGGCAAATTCAATATGGCAAACAAAATTCAAATTTGATCAGATTCGATGAAAACTTGTTACTCGGGGGTTTTTAGGGTCGCTGATTACGAATCTGATGTCACTTTTTAAAAATTCAAAATGGCGGATCCAATATGGCGGAAAAAATTTTCAAATTTGATCCGATTCCCTTAAAACGTGTTACTCGGGGGCTTTTGGGGTCGCAGATTATGAATATGAAGTTAATTTGTGTTTGAGACTTCAAATTCATAATCAGATACGCTAAAAACCACCGAGTAACACTTTTTAATTAAATCTGATCAAATTAAAAAATTTGATCCGCCATTTTGAATTTCTACAAAGTAACTTCATATTCATAATCTGCGACCCCAAAAGCCCCTGAGTAACACGTTTTAAGGGAATCGGATCAAATTTGAAAATTTTTTCCGCCATATTGGATCCGCCATTTTGAATTTTTAAAAAGTGACTTCAGATTCGTAATCAGCGACCCTAAAAACCCCCGAGTAACAAGTTTTAATCGATTCTGATCAAATTTGAATTTTGTCCGCCATATTGAATTCGCCATTTTGGATTTTTTAAAAAAAACTTTAGATTGATATTCGGGAACCCTAAAAACTGATAAAGAATGAGTTACAGAATAATTTACCTCGTTTTTTGCTTTTAATTCATAAAAGTATTTTGAGATTTTTGGACCTTTTGACTTTTGACAGTTCTATTGGCATCGGAAATGGAATTTTGCAAAAAACGCCCATCGGTATCTTAAAGTACATGAACGTAGAAATCTTTTAAGCCCTAGAACGTTTAAATCCATCAAAGCAATTTTTGTTTAGAGCTCTGTCCGTGTTGACGTGGAATGTCCCATATATGTATTTTTCGTTCGGATTGTGATAATGAATGAAGTTAATATTAATTTTAAACAAACGTGCGGATAATTTGATTTACAAGTAATGATACATATTACAAATTCTAATTTCAAAATATTTAATTTGTATAATATGACGAATTATATTTTCACTCTGTGCCAATTAACTAAAAAATATTGGAATTTTCATTAACTGATTAAATTTAATGTTAATGAATATTAAAAAAAAATTCCTATAATTAAAACTGTATGAGTCATGTAGGATTAATAGTAGTAAACATCAATATTGTGGACAGTAGTAAAAGTCAATTTTCGTCAGACAACGTTTATTCTATTTTTAAGGTAAAAGTCAATTTCGGTCATAAAAATTTTTACTACTTTTCATTTTCAGTAGGTAGTAAAAATCCGTTTCAGTCAGACTTAGAATAAAATTCTTATTTTTGTTATTTTGAATCAAAAGTCAATTTTACTCTCACGAATTTTTTTGCCTATCAGTTGTAAAAAGAGACAAATTTAGAATGAAATTGAAATAAAAATAAAAAATATAGGTATTTATTAATAATTTTATTTTTTTAAAAATTTAAGTTAGTAACACACACATGTATTTATTTTCATAAATAATAAACATTTCACAGGATTTCAAATATTTACAAATTTTTTATAAGTTTCTTCTCAATAATTCAATTACTTTTAGAAATAATAAAACTTATTTCGCAGGATTTCAATTATTTTTAATAAAATGTTAATCAAATTCCTCGAGAAATGTAATTATTCTTAAAAAGCTGATTTTAATTCGTCGAAAGAATTCAATTATTTAAAAATTTGTTGATAAATTTCTTTATGAGAATTCAATTTTAAGAAGTAATTTAATTAATTTTCTAATAAAAATTGATTTAAAAATGAATTTCAATTAAAATTTTAGATAATAAATAATAATCGAATATTAATACATTAGGTACAAATAGCACAAATTTTTAGAAATAATTAAATTTTGAAAAAGTTTCAAATTAAAATCCTTGAAAATCTGAATTTTTCATACTTTTCACCGACAATTTTGCATCATTAATTTTTTTGAAAATGTTTAATGAAATTTTTCTTGAAATTATTTGCAGTTTTCATTTTCTAAACAAGTTGATTTGAAAATTCTCAAAGAACTTTTTCTAAAAATATTAAAAATAATTGATTTAAAGAATAATTTTAGTTAATAATATTTTTAAAAAAATTAAATTTCGGAGAAGTTGAAAATAATTGCAGAAATTCAATAATTTTCAAAAGTAAAAAAATTCTTGGCAAAATTTCAATTATTTTCAAAAATTTCCCTCAATTCAATTAATTTTAATATCTACGATTTAAATAAAATTTTTCAAAAGTACTAAATTATTTAAAAGTCTTTTTAATACTATATTATTTTTGTAAATAATAAAATTCTTTTTGAAGAATTCAATTATTATCATAAACAATAAAACTTATGGCAGAATTTGAATTATTTTTCATACAATGTTAATCGAATTCCTCGAAAAATATTATTATTCCAAAAAATCTTATTAAAATTCGTCGAAAGAATTCAATTATTTCAAAACTTTTTGATAACATTTTTTATGAGAATTTAATTTTAACAATTAATCAATTATTCAAAAAATTATCTTTTTTTATATTTAAATAATTAAATTCTAGTAGAATTCTTCATATTTTCTGTCGCTACGCGAATTAAAATTGTAGGTGCTGATGGGTGATGCCCTCTGATGATGAGTGAAGGAAAAGTGTTGAATTTTGAATGAGAGAGAAATTGGGCAGACTTGTACGGACTCTCGTATATATTAGACGTATATCACTATTTTAATCTAAATTGTATAATTATATTTTTTAATCTGTTATTTGAATGAGTCTTTTTACTTTAAATAAATTCCAAGTTTCTGTTGAAGTGAAGACTAATTCAAGAGTGTATAAAGTTTATTTTAACCCCTCCACACAAAAAGAGAACAAACAATTAATTTTTTAATAATAGACTTTCGCGTGTTGAACATGGTCCTTCGAGACGGATTGTAAAATATCCGAATAGTGCAAAATGAACTGTGATTTAAAAAATATATAATTAAAGGACGTCTAATAAATTATTATCAATGTCTTGTGTTAACAAGAAATTGGACAATTATCAATACAATAGATATATCAAGGATTTTTAACGAATATTTATTTAACAAATTATCAACGGTGCACCTGGCCTGGCTTTATCAGTTATTCCAAGAGTATATTCATCTACCAGAGGCTTATTAATATTGGTTTCATTCGAATTTGGAGTGGAAATATTCAATTTACATATAACTCTTGGAAATAAAATTGATAAAATTTGAGTTTTCAACGACTACAACAGCTTTCAAGGACAATATCAGCTGACTAGCAGTGTTTGAAGACAATAGCAGTTTTCGTCATGGTCATCTGTTTGTATATTATCATCGCAGTAAGAGTATTTATATTTATCGTTCGTATTGTTTTCACTTAATTTGTACTTGTAATTAAATTAATTATATTTTATCATGTCTATTAACCAACTTGACGGCGCACGTCAAGCTCGAACAAATTCGAAGTCACGTTTAACAAAATTTAGAACATTTTTAGAAAAAATACAAAATGAATCACACGAAACAATTAATATAAATGAAGTAAAAATACGTTTAAAAAAAATAAAAGAAACGTGGCTTGAATATAATTGAGCTCAAACAGTCATATAATTGCTTGCTCCTACAACGGAGAGAGAGGCGGAACGTACCGAGTTTGAAAATAATTATTATCATTATACTTCAATAGCAGTTCAATTAATAGAAAGACTTTCCTCTTCTCCTTCCGTTGCTTCCGTACGATCATATCCGAACTTGAGACGAGGATTCGTAGACAACACGAATCTGAAATACAAAATTTACGTGAGATTGCCCTTTCCCATGCTTTTGATTCAAATAGTGAGGCGTCAACTATTCGCTCACGGTTTCCACTACCTAAACTGGACCTTCCCATTTTCTCGGGGGGGTACGAAGAATGGTTGGGTTTCCGCGATTCGTTCCTTGCCATAATTCATAACGATAAAACTATTCCGAACGTATAGAAATTGAGATATTTGAGATCTTACATTAAAAATTATGCCGCTCGCGTGATTGAGAACATAGAAACTTCAGACTAAAATTATACTATAGTTTGGAAATTATTATTATTGCAAGGGTAATCATTTTATTCAAAATTGTGAGGAATTTACCAAATTATGTTATGATGAAAAAACACAAATAGTTAAGAATAAAGGACTCTGTTTTAATTGTTTAAGGCGAAACCATTTAATTAATGAATGCAAGTCGAGAAATTGTTCTATTTGTAACCGTAGACACCACACATTATTGCACGTAGATTCAAGTTCAGATTCCGTTTCAGTTGAAACTAAGAGTAATAGTAACAACAATAATAATAATATCACTGGTAATTCGATTCAAGCAAAAAATATGCACATAAAGGATTCTTCAGAAGTTATTTTGTCGACTGCAATTATTGATATACTTGATATTAACGGATATAGGTACCAATGTAGAGCCTTTTTAGACAGCGGTTCTCAACCTAATATTATAACTTTAGACTTAGCTAATCGCCTTAAATTAAAAAGAACAAAATTCAATGCTACTATAGAAGTTGTTAATAATCAGAAAGTCAATACTTCTGAGTGGGTTGTTGCGACATTCCAATCAAAAACATCTTCTTATTCTGCCAAACTTGATTTCCTAGTACTCCCTAAAATAACAGGAAATGTTCCAAATATTCCTTTAAATAAAGAAATCCTAAAAATTCCAAAAAATATCAAATTATCGGATCCAAATTTCGACAAGCTAGCTGAAATTGATGTCTTGACTGGTGCAGAATTGTTTTATGATCTTTTGTATATGAATAGAATTCCACTTTCTGTACCTCGAACTTCATTGCAGTGCACCAAGTTAGGATGGATTGTAGCTGGAAGGATGAATGATTACGCATGCAGACGGAGATTCTCAAGCAACCTTATAAGAGATCCTTTAAGTATTCAACTCGACAATTTTTGGAAATTGGAAGAATGTTCACAAAAAGGATTTTTTTAGCTGAAGAGGAAGCTTGTGAGGAGCATTTCGTATCAAATACTGAGCGTTTAACATCAGGTCAATACCAGGTACGATTACCGTTTAATGATAAACAAAATCTTTTAGGATCATCTTATGATGCTGCAAAAAGGAGATTTTTTATGTTTGAGAGGAAGTTAGAGCGTAACCTGGAATTGAAGGATCAATATCATCAATTCATGAAGATCTACTTGGATTTGAATCATATGGAGTTGGATGAGTCGGATACGAATTTAGGCTATTATATTCCTCATCATTGTGTCTTGAAGATTACAGAACTTATTGCTACTCTCAGAGTCGTTTTTGACGCTTCCACCAAGTCAAAATCAGGAATTTCTCTCCATGACGCACTGATGACTGGACCTGTGATTCAACCTACTATTTTCCAATTAGTTCTTAGATTTAGACAACATCAGATAGTCCTGACTGCCGACATCGAAAAAATGTTTTGTCAGTTCGCTGTTCATCCTGATGATAGTCAGTATCAAAGGATACTTTGGAGATTCGATAAGAACGAGTTTTTAAAAAGTTATCGCCTAAATACGGTGACTTACGGAACATCTGCTGCACCTTTTCTATCTACCCGATGTTTAAAACGGCTGGCAGATGACGAAAGGACCTTCTTTCCAAGGGCATCATCCGTCTTGGAGAATGACTTCTATGTGGATGATTTGAGCACTGGCACTGATACGTTGGATGAAGCTAAGGAATTAAAAGAGATTTGATCCAGATAACCAAAGGAGCTGGATTGAACCTATGCAAGTGGAACTCAAATTGCAGAATTTGTGGAAGCTAGATGTTGATTGGGATGATCCTTTACCTGAAGAATCATTAACATCATGGAATGAATATAAAGATCAACTGAGTTTGTTAACTGATTGGAGTATTCCGAGATTGGTCAAGATTTCAAAGATGACTGATTATCAGCTTCACGGGTTTGCAGATGCAAGTCAGAAGGCATATGGTGCTTGCATCTACAGACGATCATCGGATGGAGACCAACATTTTGCTATATTATTATGTTCCAAATCTAGGGTAGCTCCATTGAACGTCATCTCTCTCCCGAGATTGGAACTTTGCGCTGCGAGTCTTCTGATCAAGTTGTATGAAGCTGTGAAGGACGCTCTGAAAACAGAATTCAAGGAGAAGTACTTCTGGTCGGATTCTATGATTACTCTCAATTGGATAAATACACCATCCTATAAATTGTCAACCTTTGAAGCGAATCGGGTGTCGGAGATTCAATCATCCTCTGATCCTGCTGAATGGAGACATGTGCCGAGTAAAGAAAATCCAGCAGATTCTACAGTACCGTCCGCAATTGTCAGTCCACCCATTTTTAAAGGAATGACAAAAATTTTTTAACATAAAATTCATGAAAACTAAAATTTTTTTTGGTTTATATTTTGAAAGACGATAAAATTTTGAAAAGAATAAGACCTTACAGAAGTCATTTGGCCAAAATTTGTAGAAGATATTCCTAAAAATCGTCATTTTCAATGTTTTACAAAAATTTAAATAACTTCTAAAATAATGAACGCTTTTTAATAATCTTAGGCTTATTTTAAAGGTCTTTTTCTACGGAATAAGAATTACTTATAGGCATTAACCTGTCATTTTTAACTTGGAATAAGCATGACGTCAAAATTAGACAAAAAAATTGGAAAAATTTGAAATCAATTTTTTGTACTAAAAACTATTCTAGAACATATATAAAACATGATATGGTGTAGATTTTTCAAGAAAATTTAATAAAAATATATGTTTGAGTTTCAAAAATTATTTTTCTTTTAATAATATTATTTCAAATTTTTTGAATTTTTTTGTCCAACTTTGACGTCATGCTTACTCCAAGTTAAAAATTACAGGTTAATGCCTATAAGTAATTCTTATTCTGTAGAAAATGGTCTTTAAAATAAGCCTAAGATTATTAAAAAGCGTTCATTATTTTAGAAGTTATTCAAATTTTTGTAAAACATTGAAAATGACGATTTTTAAGAATATCTTCTACAAATTTTGGCCAAATGACTTCTGTAAGGTCTTATTCTTTTTAAAATTTTATCGTCTTTCAAAATAAAAAACAAAAAAAATTTTACTTTTTATGAATTTTATGTTAAAAAATTTTTGTCATTCCTTTGAAAATGGGTGGACTGACAATTTCGGACGGTACTGTATATCGCGTGGCCAGTTACCGAAGGATTTTCTTGTGAACGACATGTGGAAGTTTGGACCTGCATGGCTTAGTTTGCATGAGTCGAATCGGCCGAATCAACAAATACAAATCGATGATAGTGAATTAGCAGAAGGGATAAAATATCAAGTTTTATCTGTTCTCAATACAACAAAAAATGAACTTTGGAATCGATACTCTTCATTAACTAAGTTGATTCGCATCATCGCATTTTGCTTTAGATTTTTTAATAGAATTCGCAAGGAAAGGATCAATTCAGGATCACTGACAGCTGAGGAGATTAAATTTTTATCTGATCAAATTTTTCAGCAAATTCAACGAAAGAAATTTTCAAAGGAATTCCATGCTCTCTCAAAGAAGATGAAGATTTCCAATGAATCCAAGATACTGAGATTGACTCCTTTTGTCGATGATGGATTTCTACGCGTGGGAGGAAGACTGGAAAATTCCGACATAGAGTATGGACTCAAACACCCTATCCTAATTCCTAAAAATCATCCGATCACTGATCTCCTTGTTCGAGACACCCACAACAGATTGAAACACGCAGGGATTAATGCGACCTTGTATGCAATACGCGAAACATATTGGATTGTGGGCGGTTGTTCAGTTGTAAAGAAAATTATCCATAAATGTTATAAATGTTGTCGAGCAAATCCACGAGAGGTAAATTATTTGATGGGTAATTATCCCAAAGTTCGTGTTACTGGCAATAGGCCTTTTGAGCATACTAGAATAGACTACTGTGGGCATTTTTATTTGAAAGAAAAACGTTTTCGAAATCGAGCAAAAATAAAGGTATATGTAGCTGTATTTGTCAGTTTGTCTACCAAGAGCGTTCATTTGGAGTTAGTCAGCGATCTGTCTACGGATTCGTTTATTGCCTGTTTAAGGAGATTTTTTTCGAGACGTGGAAAAGCGAGGGCATTATATTCAGATAATGCTACCAATTTTTTAGGAGCAAGCAATGAGCTTCGGGAGCTTCACAGCCTGCTTAACTCTGATGATCATAAGAATAAAGTTCAAAAAGATTTAGCTGATCAAGGAGTAGAGTGGCATTTTAGTCCTCCACGATCACCACACTTTGGTGGATTGTGGGAAGCGGCTGTGAAGTCCCTGAAGCATCATCTTCGAATAGTGATGGGTGAAACATTGTTGCATTACGAGGAGATGTGTACATTGTTATGTGAGATTAAAGCGATCTTGAATTCGCGTCCTTTAACACCCATGTCGACTGATCCGAATGATCTTCGAGTAATAACACCGGGACATTTCTAATAGGAAGGTCATTGTTGACTATTCCTACGAATGATTATTCTGATATTAATGTAAATCGCCTGTCTTCGTGGCAGCACGTTCAAAAGATAAAGGCAGACATTTGGAAGCGCTGGTATAATGAATACTTAAATGAAATTAATGTTAGAAATAAGTGGTTTGCTGGTGAGAGTGAGAGAATCAAAGTTGGTACATTGGTTACATTGCGAGAGGACAATTTACCATCTTTGAGTTGTAAGTTGGGTAGAATTGTAGAGGTTGTTCCAGGAGAAGATAAGATTGTTAGAGTAGTATAAAGGTGAAAACATCTACGGGAGAGTATGTACGCAGTGTTAAAAAAATCGCTCCACTTCCTGAATGAACGTGAATGATATTTTGAACGAAGCCGTTCAAGGCTGGCAGTATGTCGCTGCGCGAATTAAAATTGTAGTTGCTGATGGGTGACGCCCTCTGATGATGAATGAAGGAAAAATGTTGAATTTTGAATGAGAGAGAAATTGGGCAGACTTGTACGGACTCTCGTATATATTAGACGTATATCACTATTTTAATCTAAATTGTATAATTATATTTTTTTAATCTGTTATTTGAATGAGTCTTTTTACTTTAAATAAATTCCAAGTTTCTGTTGAAGTGAAGACTAATTCAAGAGTGTATAAAGTTTTATTTTAACCCCTCCACACGTAAAGAGAACAAACAATTAATTTTTTAATAATAGACTTTCACGTGTTGAACATTTTCTAATAATATTCTTATATGTTATTGAATTTCAAAATGTTTGAATTTGAAGTCTTTGAAAATCTTAATTCCTTTAAAGAAATAATAATTATTAAATATTAAAACAGAAATTGGTGATATTTTCGAATAATTTTATATTTAAAGAAATTCGCAAATAAAAGTAAGAACATTTTTTTAAGTATCTAATTATTTTTAAAGTGAATCAGATTATTTTTTAGAGTCAGGGAGAAAGTCAAAAACTTTGTCTGGAAATCAGGGAAAAATCAGGAAAAAACAAAAATAAATTTTTGTCACAACTCTGTAATTGTTGTTCTATTCTCAAAATTTGAATTAGTAAAAATGTTTACTAATTTGAATTAGTTGACTGACTGTTTGCTTTTAAATTAGTCAATTTTACTAATAAATTAGTAGAAATTATTTTTATTTTTAATTTTTTTATTTCATTTTTATTTAATTATTTTTATCTATTTATTTAGATAAATATTTTAATTATAAATTATATAATCGTTTATTTAGTTTTTCGTGTGAGAATTCTAGGAAAAGGAAATATGAAAATAATACACTTGAAGTATTGTATATGATTTTTGTGGACGATAAAAATTCAATATTGTGTAAGACATTTGTTGCCATGAGAAGAATAACACGACGGATTTCTTTGCGATGGTTTCGACAAATTTTTTTTTCTCCTTTTCCACCTCCTCTGTTATTTTTTGTTTTTTTCTTCATTGTTTCCTTCTTTGGAAGGGTCTAAAGACTTGTAGTCACTGAGAAGATTGAACAGCGATTGGCAGCTGCACGTTCGAAGGATATCTCGAGTCAACGAGACGATATTTCTCCGGAGACTGACGTCACTTCCGGGCGTTTCACGGCTAAAGTTGGGATATGCGACGCCCTGAAATAAACTCGGGACGAAATGTTATATATATATATATATATATATATATATATAAAGAGACCGTCGTTCCTGGTTCACGTATAAAGTGAGAGCGAGAAAGCAGAACTGCAAAATGCAATCCACATTTCGAACCGAGCACCGGAAGTATTCTTCTCGAGTTCTTCAAACTTCTTCTAAAGGTAACTTCGCCAACACTTGCGTTGGGTGAATATTTGCACTCGTCCTCTCTCTCTCTCCCCCCTCTCTCTTGCTCACTATAAAGGATATTGTATTGTCGTATATGGTTGCTATTTACTGCTTTTTCCTAGATACACATTGCTCAAGGCTCAAAAGAAGATGGAAAGATGTTTACCACTGAATTTTATGCTCAGCATATTTTTACACTAAAAGAAGATTATGCGTTTTGAAAAAAATACACCATTTCCTAACGGTATTAAAGCGTTGAAGATTTTGCGAAAGAATTTTTTCATGATTATTATTTCACTTTTGGTGTGATGCTCAATAACTATTTACTAGAGTGTAAATCGATAATTTTACTCTCCGTCTGACTTGAAAATTACCTTTACTACAACGAAGAATGAATTTAGTTTTTAAATTAATTTTATTTATTACTTATTTACTTTATA